TGGCTGGCTTTGAACCGCAATCCTCAGATCTCAGCCTCCTGAGTAGCTAGGATTACAGGCTTGAGCTACCAGCACCCTGCTGCAAAGTTTTATTTTTTTTTTAAAGCACAAATTGGATCTTTGTACAAGAATAGTGATGACTTTAAAAAGTAGTGACAAATATGACTTTTTAAAATGAAATGAAGCCCTATATTTGTCATTGTTGTAAGACTAATAACTGTGTCATCAAGATACAATAGTTATTAAGAAATTTGATTATCAAAGGATAATGTGCATAAAGTCATAGTTAGGATGCAGGATTTAGAGAAGCATCAGTTAAACATTTCCTAATTTTTACTTGTTACAAATTAACTTTCTGTGCATATTGGGTTGTTTAAATTTTGCTTTTATAGATATTATTTGGTGTTTAGAAAAAGAATCTTTGGACTGAAAAAACATAGCTGAAATGTTGCTTATGTGTGTGGAGATGCCATCTGTTCATTTGGGGAAAGATAATGGTGGGAAGATGAACAATCAAAGCATTTAAAATACTGAGGCTCTAATCTGTCAAATGATATACTTTTCTTTGCTGAGCAATATACTGTATTTTAATGTGCAAACACACAAAAGAATAAATTTTCTGATGTTGAAAGGTAAGACAAAAGGCAATAGATTCTAGTATCTTGGTATCTGATTTGTATTTATGATCATAGCATTACTGCTGTGCCATTTAATTATATTCTTTTTCTGAAAACCTAATTTGTATGTTGACACAAATGCAGAATAGATGAGAAAATCTGGCATGTCTGTGAATATTTTGTTGTATAATATGTGCTTTTCTTAATTGTTTTTAACGTGCAGTTAGGATAATTTGTAACAAATGTGTTTATGGTTTCCCATAGCATATTAAGGAAAATTAGCGTGCAGCACTTTATCACTGTTAGTACTGTGCATTTTCCCATCACTTGTATTATTTAATTTGTATATCTGATAAAAGGCAGCCTAGAGACTTTCTGGGTCCTTCATTGAGGAGAAAGGTACTAAACGTGAAAGAGATTGTCTTGTGAATTTTACAGTGGCTAGTCATTGTGATTTCATAGTCCTGTCGTGTGTGTGTGTGTGTGTGTGTGTGTGTGTGTGTGTGTGTGTTGATTGTGCCTGGGGGTGGTCTAATCCAAGACCTTACACATACTAGGCAAATGCTCTGCTCCTGAGATACCCTCCTGAAGTGTATTAAAGTTTACCCTACAAATTAATGAGCCATACTGTCCTTCAAAATTCACTCAATAAATTGATTGTTCTCTACTGGGTGATAAGTAGTACTGATAATACAAAAAACTGTGTGTGTGTGTGTGTGTGTATGTGTGTGTGTGTATGTATTTAACCTTAAATTGCTTTTAAATTGTAGGCTGGAATCAGACATTGGGTAGGGGCTACATTTTTAAGATTATTAAGGGAATTTCCTTAGAACCACTGATCTGGGACTCTCAGCGGATTACTGTAGGAATAGTGGGAATTAAGAGGGATATGTTCTTAAATGGATGTACTACCTGCTATTTAGATGGAGTGTACAGATATAAAACAATACTGGGTTTGGATTATGAGTAATGAAAATGACTAAACTTGTCAGATTTCAAGACAAGGTCTTTAAAGAAGTGTTTGCTTGCTTTCTGAACATTTAGGCTCCCATAGCAATACTAGGAAAAGCTTCACTGCAGAAGTCACTTTTAGCAATTTTTCTCTTGGTAAGATATTGGGGTTTGAACTCATTTGGGCTTTCTTGCGCTTACGACAAAGCAGGTTCTCTAGTCCTTTTAGCTTTTGTTATTTTTCAAACAGGATCTCACATTTTAGCTGGGCAACCTGGACTGTGATCTTCCTTGTTTCTCCTCCCTGTGTTGCTGGGATGACAGATGAGCAACATTGTGCCCAGGCTTTTATTGATTGAGATGAGATCTTGGTGACTTTCTGTCTAACTGAGATCCCCGCCCCCTCCAGCTTCAGCTCCCTAAGTAACTAGGATTACAGGTGTGAGCCACTGTTCCTAGCTTAGCTTTCCAGATGTTAACTTAAAAGGTCTGAAAATCATTTATTGAGCAATATGTCTAGAATTGTTTCAGATGTAAAACTGATTTAAAAAAGGCATTTTCTTCATGGGCTTAACATTAACCATTGAATTCAAGATGCCCTTTGATGTCATGGATTTGTTAGAATAACTTACACATGCCTTTTTTAATACTGTTCCATCATAGACGATTGGAATAAAAAGTATTCTACCAATTAAGCTACTATTTTTATACACTAAGGTTTTTTTAAAAAATTTAAATGGAATGCAGGGCAAGTGCCCTACTGCTGAGCTATTACTTTTTAATTTTTTAAAATTATTTTTAAATTTTTTTTGTGTGTGTCGGTCCTGGGGTTTGAACTCAGGCCCTGGATTCTGTCCCTCTGCTTTGTTTTTGCTCAAGGCTAGTGCTCTATCTACCACTTGAACTACAGCTTCACTTCTGGATTTTTGGTGGCTAATTGGAGGTAAGAGTCTTGCTTGGAAACGTAATCCTCAGATCTCAACCACTTGAGTAGCTAGGATTGTAGACATCATCCATCCCTGCCCAGCCTCTAAGATTTCTTAAAAAATGAATATGTTAAATTAAAAAATTATTATTATAAAGTTAAGTACAGAGGAGTTTCAGTTACATAAGTCAGGTATTGAGTACATTTCTTAATTTCTTTTTGGACAGTGCCACTCCTACCCGCATTCCCAGTTTTTCCCTCCCAACTCCACCCACAAATGTCTAGTGAGTTACTACTGCTACATTAAACATTTTTAATGCATTAATCTAAGTGGTATACAAAACATAATTTAACTACATCATATTGTTTCAAGACTTAAATACCAATTACTGTACTCTTTTTAGAAGTATGGGACAATTGAGATGTATAAATTATTCACCTGTTTCAGAGGTCTCAAGTTTTTGCTCATTGAGGTAGTTTTTGTGTTTACATTTTATCTCCTTTTTAGGCTGTTAGCTGTCAGTTAACATTTATTGCTGTCATTTAGAATTTGTTGACAGAAGCATTTTATAATTTACTACCAAAACGGAGCTGTAGGCTGAGAAAACAAGTGATTGCTTTATTTTATAAATAAACTGTTGAATTTGTTCTTATTCTCAGTTCTGACCTAATGATCAGAACTGTGATGCATATTTGGATCTTCAGAATATTTGATCAGTATTTTAAAAATATTTATTTACATGTAGTCTGGACCTTCACTAGAATAGTCAATCCATTTGAAGTATTATTATTTTTTTTTTTGGTCCAGCTGTGGGGCCTGAACTCTGGCCCGGGGGCTGTCCCTCAGCTTTTCAGCTCAAGGCTAGCGCTCTACCACTTCAGCCACAGCGCCACTTCCGGCTTTTTTCTTTTATGTGGTGCTGAGGAATCGAACCCAGGGCCTCATGCATGCAAGGCAAGCGCTCTACCACTGAGCCACCTTCCCAGCCCTGAAGTATTATTTTCTTTTAACCTTGTGATCTCATTCTTTCAAATTCCTTACTCAATAATTCTTAGTTAAGATTTAGATCTCTCACTAAAACAAATTCTCTCTCTCTCTCTCTTTTTTTCTCTCTCTCTCTTTTGCTTGCTTGCTTGCTTTTTCCTGTTTTGGGCCTGGGCGCACTGTCTCTGAGCTATTTTTTTTTTCCCCCTGAATGCTAGCATACTACCACTTGAACCCTAGTTCTAATTCCAGCTTTTTTTTGGTGGTTAGTTGGAGATGAGGCTTTCCTGCCCTTGATGGCTTTGAACTACATTCTCATCAGCTCTCCTTTTTGACTTATTCTGCCTTTAACTCTTTCTTAGTCCTGTACTAAGAGTTCTCACTCTACTTGATTTGTCTGTTCATCAACTCTCTCTACTGTCCACTGTGGTACCTGTCAGCTACTTCTTTCCTCTTCCACCAGTGAGGCTTGTTTTTAGCAAGACATTCTTTTCCTGTAAGCTTAGGGTAATGACTGTAATTTGAAGTACATGGGGAAGCTTAGCAAGGAAGAACAAAGTATAAAGCAAGTCAAAGTAAGGGAGGCGTTAGTGACTATAGGTGATTTATACCCTTTCTGCCTCAGTTTCCTAACTTTGGTTGTTTTATTTAAATATGTAAAATGGAGATAATGATACTTCCTGTGTGTGCATGTGTGCCCACCCATGTGTTGGAATTCTCAGCAAGTGAATGTGTACTAACTTGCCAGTTCCTTTATCCTTTGTTTATAAGTATATAGCTTCAGTGCTTAAAAATTTGAAAGAGATTTCTAAGTTTCTGAGGAAATACAATTTACTGATACTTGTTGACAAAGTGATTTCAGAGTTAATTGGCCAAACCACTTATTGCTCTAAAAGGTCATCTAGTTAGTATTCTAACAAATACTATGGGAATGGGATATTGTGTACTTGATTATAGTAGGAAGAATAATCAGAATTTCTTAACATGGTACATTTTCAGAGTGCTATTGTTAAAAATGAGGAATTTGTTGTAGCCCATGTTAACACACTGAAACTTGGGAGACGACAGCCCTAATGAGTCTTTGAGTCAAGGTGATTAGACACAATACTTTAAGGATACACAGCTCAATAGAAGATGGCCCTTTGTGCTGGGCACCCATATCTCATACCTGCAATCCTAGCTACTCAGTAGGCTGAGATCTGAGGATCATGGTTTGAAGCCAGCCCAGCCAGGAAAGTCTGTAAGACTCTTATTTCCAGTTAACCACCAGAAATGCTAGAACTGGAGCTGTGGTTCAATTGCTAGTATTTTACCCTTGAGCACAAAAGCTCAGGGACAATGCCCAGGTGCCTGAGTTTAAGGCCTAAAACTGGAACTAAAAAATTTAAAGAAAGAAAGAAAAAAAGATGTCCCTTTGGTGGTGGAGAATGCTTGGAATGGGCCCTGGATTTGATCCCTAGAACTTCAAAAACAAAGTTGTATTTTATGCTCAAAAACCTTACCTTTCCACATTTTTCTACAGACTGATACACCACCAGGAATGGAATTACAGTCATGGTATCCTGTTATAAAACAGGAAGGAGACTCTGTTCCTCAGACACATTCATTTTTACACCCCAGGTAAGTGGATAAGCATTCATCCAACAGCTTGATGCCATGTACTGGTCTAGGAGCTTAGTTTTAAGGTTTCTCTTTAATAGATTATCTTCGAAAATTCACAAGCAAGGAATTTAATATCTTTTGTCTCTTTGTCATCATAGGAAAATCATATGGAATTCATATTGGTAGTTACTCTTATTAGATAAAGCCCAAAGAATCTAAAGAATGTTAATTGTACTGAATATGTGAGACAACCGTTACTGGTGTTTGTATGCTATTTCTAGAAGTAGGTCATTTCCTTTCTGTCCCAAGTGAAACATGAAAGTTGTCTTTTTTATTTAATTAAATGGTTTTACAAAGAGGTTGCAGTTCCACGTGTCAGATGGAGAGTTAAAACAGTTCTTTATGTTAGTGTGTAACTTTTAAAACTAGGAAACTTGGAGCTTTTATAATAGGCACATCTCTCATATTTCATATTTTATATTTTCACATGGGTTATAAGTTTCTGTTTATTGAATCCTAGGTTTTGATATGCTGCTGTAATCTGATCTCTCCAAGCATGGGGAAGAATTTCAGTCTTATTTATACTTGCACAAAATCAGTGACATATCTATTGCATTAAAACTTGTCAGGTTTTTTTTTTTTAGCAGAATACTCTGCTTTCAGATGGAAAGTTCATGAGATTGATAGGAACAATACAGATGTCCTATACACATGTAAGAGGAGCTTATCTGATGAAGTATTAATTAAATAGTTACATATTGTTTTGGTAAAGATTACATGTTATTTAAATACTTAGCTCACATTTGTTTCATGGTCCCTGCAGGTAATCTAGGCACTTTTATGTGAGCTTTGAGAAAACTGAGCAAAACTCAGTTTTAATTTTGTACAACTTGTTACCATTTTATAGGTAGAAAGTACGAATTGTATTTTTATTTTCTTTATTTTTGCCAGTCCTGGGGCTTGAACTCAGGGCCTGGGCACTGTCCCTGAGCTTCTTTTGCTCAAGGCTAGCACTCTATCACTTGAGCCACAGTGCCACTTCCATCTTTTTCTGCTTATGTGGTACCGAGGAATCCAATCCAGGGCTTCATGCATGCTAAGCAAGCACTCCAGCACTAAGCCACATTCCCAACCCTAATTGTATTTTTAAAAGATTGCCTTGTTGGGATTGATAGTAGGAGAACTGCCTAGCAGCCAGGAAGCATCCAGAGGGCCTGTTTTCTCTCTGAGCTACTAACAGTGGACCCTAGAAGCTTGTCATTGGCCTGTGTGGGCCCGGTTATAGCAGTGTAGTGGGTGATTAAACACACTGACAAAGACAAGTGTTCTGCCTTTAGAGATCTGTGGGCAAGAAAATACTCTTCAAAGTAGCATGTAGCCTGTTCTCTTTCTAGAGTAAACTTGACCTACTCAGCTGCTAAACAGCTCTGGAAAGTACTTCATGCTTTAGTTTTCAGCTGGGTTTATAGGAAGAGGAAAAGACTCCTTTTCTTTTCCATCAAGTATAGTTAGTGCTTAGAAATAACTTGCAAAATAATAATTCTTCGTAAGTTTTGGTCTCCTAAAGTGCTAATAATTTCCATTTATCATGGACTCTTTATTTTGTGAATTGCTAGATTGTCTTTTTGGTAAATGAAAAAAAATTGAGTTTAACTGTAGAAAGATAGCACACATCATATTTTTACCCAAATGTAGTATGTAATATTTACCTTATTTTGCCTTTCTTTGTTTTCAGCTACTACTTGTACATGTGTGATAAAGTGGTTGCCCCAAATGTGTCCCTTACTTCTGCTGTGTCCCAGTCTAAAGAAGTCACAAAGACAGAAGCAACTAAGACCATATCAAGACAGTCTGAGAAGCTTCACAGCAGTAGTAAACATCAAAAAACAGTGTCTTATCCAGATGTCTCACTAGAGGAACAAGAGAAAATGGATTTAAAAACAAGTAGAGAATTATATAACCACTCAGGTAAGTATTCAGGAGTTATATTTAAAAAGTCAGATGTCTAATATAAAGCACACTTATTTTGTATTTTAAGAGAAGTTTTTTATTCTTTGAACCTCAGTTGTTTCATGGGTCTAGAATTTTCTAGCCTGTGGAGGCTATAGAAAGACTGTGTTATGTGGCTTCACACTGAAAGTGATTCTTGTATTTTTCTTCTTTTGGCCAGAATTTTGCAATAGGTTTCTATTTTTCCTAATTTTCTATGGATTGAGATGTTGTTAATATTAAGAAATATATGGGTGACAGTGTCCAAAAGGAAATGTATTTTTTATTAACTTTTTTTTTTACTAATTTTTATTGAGATTAAGTGAGTACATAAATTTCACACTATTGTGAGATAGTGATACTTAAAGTCACAAACAAATTTTAACCTTAAGGCAAATTGTCACTATCATGATCTATAATGTTTGTGAATTTTATGAGCTTTGACAGTACAGCTGTTTCTTCCACATTGGGTGATATGTACATTTCTTTCCTTTTACTTAGTGTAAGCTGTTAAACTTTCCCTCTCATTCCCTCCCTCCCATCGCTGCCCTTTAGTTGCTTAGTTCGTTTTCATCAATGTCAGTGAAGCTGATGAGCCCCTCTGTTGTATATTTTCCCATTTCTCTCTGATTCGGTGTCCTTCTCCTAAAATAATTCCCTCAGATAGATAGAATAACAATTTTTTTAAAAAATTGTGAGAGCACTTAGTTGTGGAACTCAGGGAAATGTCAGACTCAGGAACTGAGTGCCCTAGGAATCAGGCAGATGTCCGAAGTTTAGAATTCTGAATGGTCATCTCAGAAAAAAATCTGCTTATTTACTACACCTTGTAAATGTTGTGGATAAAACAAGACCTGTCCACTCCACTGCCTGTTCTCTTCCACATTAAAAAAAAAAAGTAAAAAAAAAGCGGTACAGCTTTGCTTAGTGCCTTACTTGTGTGAGTTATTTTAACTATTTTCATAGGGAATTGAGATTCTTGTTTTTTTTATTTTTTTTAGTTGGTCATGGGGTTTGAACTCTGGGCTTGGGCACCGTCCCTGTGCTCTTCAGCTCAAGGAGAGCACTCTACCACTTGAGCCACTTCCAGTTTTCTAGTGTTTTTTATTGGAGATAAGAGTCTCATGGACTTTCCTGCCCGGGCTGGCTTTGAACTGCTATCCTCAGATCGCTAGCTAGGATTACAGGCGCCCAGCTTGAGTTTTTTTTTTTTTTTTTTAATATATACTTTGACTTTTTACCACTTGGTTTTCCTTTGGATTGAGATATGGTACAGTAATTCATTATGCATCATTATGTCATATTTGCATTGTATTTTGTTTCCCAAGTGAATTTCAGTAATTTAAAAATAATTGGAATGTAATTTACATGCCATAAAACTTAAAGTGTACAGTTCACAACTGTCACTATTTAATTGGAGAACATTTACATCACTCCACAAAGAAACCAATCCTCTAATGACTCCTCAGGCTCCTTATTCTGTTTTCTGTCTTTATGAACTTGCTCACTCTGGACATTTTCTATAAAAAGAATTATATAATCTATGTTGCACGTGTTGGTACTTTTTTTGTAGCTTAATATTTCATTGTATGGATGTGTCATATTTGTTCTTCAGTTGATGGGCATTTGTAATGTTTTCACGTTTTGGCTATTATGAATGATGTTGCTATGAATACTTGGGTACAAGTTTTAGAGTAGATATATGTTTTCATATTAAAGGCTGGAATTGCTGGGTCATATGTTAACTGTGTTCATACTTGGAGGGACTCTGCAATTACCTCCAAAGTGACTGTGCCATTGTGCATTCTCTAGCAGTTTGAGAGGATTTTGAGATTCGCACATTTTTGTCAACATTTGTAACTATGTGTCATGATTATTGCATTGTCAGGTGGTACCACGTGGTTTTCATTTGAAATCCCCTAATAACTGATGATGTTGAACATTAAAAAAAAAAGTTTTAGATCCTTTGTCTGGATTGGCTTGTCTCTTTTCTTTTGAGTACTAAATTGGGTTATATGTTACTTTTGAGTACTAGGAGTTATTTTTGTATTTTGGATTCTTACCATGTAAATAAGTTGTCATTCTGTCACTTTTTCATTTTATTGATAGTGACCCTTGAAGCATGTAAGTTCTTAATTTTTGTGATTTTTAATTTTCTTAATTGTGATTTTTTTTTTTTTTGGTTGGGCGTGGGGCTTGAACTCTGGGCCTGGGCGCTGTCCCTGAGCTCTTCAGCTCAAGGCGAGCACTCTACCCCTTGAGCCACAGTGACACTTCCGGTTTTCTAGTGGTTTATTGGAGATAAGAGTTTCACAGACTTTCCTGCCTGGGCTGGCTTTGAACCGAAATCCTCAGATCTCACTCAGCCTCCTGGGTAGCTAGGATTACAGGCGTGAGCCACTGGCTCCCAGCTTTAATTGTGACTTTTAATTTCTTGATTTTCTTGATTTCTGTAGTCTTGTAGTAAGCTTTGAAATTGGAAATGATGGGTCCTCAAATTTAAAATAAGCTTGTCAGTTTCCCTGCAAATATCTAAATGAGGACTTTTGATAGAGAATGAATTGAGTAATGGACCAGTTTGGGAAGCATTGTCCTCTTTACAGTATTGCCATCTACTCTGTTCATTCCATGAAAATGTGATACCTTTCTATGTATTTAGGTTTGCAATTCTTTCAGTAGTGTTTTATGGTTATCATTACAAACATATGACATCCATTGTTAATTTTTCCTAAGCATTTTATTTTTCTTGATTTATATATAGAATTGTCTTGGATTTCAATTATGGTTTGTTACAGTGATTTTTCAATGGTCTTATTCCTATTTTCTAACTTGATTTTTTTTTCTGTTCAAAGATCCATTGATCTCAAATAATTCTGCAAGTAAGAAGAAATCTGAACCTGCCTTAGTAAGAGACACAAGGAAGCATGATGCTGCAGCCTCCTCTCCACTTCCTGTCAGAGATGTTACTTGTGAAGATGATAAGGGAAAAATCATGGAAGAAGTAATGAGAACTTATGTAAAGCAACAGGAGAAGTTGAACTCGATTTTACAAAAGAAGCAACAGCTTCAGATGGTAAAATTTGTATTTAAAGTTCTGTCTAAAGTTCAAGCCCTATGACCAACAACAACAAAAAAGAATAATAGTTGTTAAAAGATAATTTCTAAGGGTTTTAGTGTGAAAGTCAAGAAGAAATGGTAACCTGTACTTTAGATTATTTAGTTTTATGTTTATAAGCATTTTTGACATGTTATTTTTTTGTTGTTGTTGATCATGGAGTTGAAATGGGTCTGGGCACTGTCCCTGAGCTTTTCTGTTTAAGGCTAGCACTCTACCACTTTGAGCCACAGCTCCACTTCATTTTTCTGGTGGTTAATTGGATATAAGAGTCTAATGGACTTTCCTACTTTGCTGGCTTTGACCTAGGATCCTCACATCTTAACCTCCTGAGTAGCTAGAATTATAGCGTGAGCCCACCCAGATGACATTTAAATTTTTAGCAACAACAACTTTAATAATTGCTTCAATAGAGAAGTAATATATTACAGATGTTAGATATTCTCTGACATAGTTTTTCTTGAAGTGATGTTTTAAATATGCAAATGAAGTAAAAATTGTGACATGATTTTTATATTATAGGAAGTGGAAATGTTGAGCAGTTCAAAAGCTATGAAAGAACTCACTGAAGAACAGCAGAATTTGCAGAAAGAGCTTGAATCTTTGCAAAATGAACATGCTCAAAGAATGGAAGAATTTTATGTTGAACAGAAAGACTTAGAGAAAAAATTGGAGCAAGTAATGAAGCAAAAATGTACCTGTGACTCAAATTTAGAAAAAGACAAAGAAGCTGAATATGCAGCACAGGTAAGAATAATTCAGTTTGTATATTGATACCCTTTCAACAAGGAAATGGAAACTATTACTTTTTAATTTAAGGAGTTACTTTGTCATTGTATTGTAGTTTGCAAAATAGTTAATTGTGGTAAATACAACTTTATTTGATATTGTTCACAATTATTTTTTGACTTTTATTTTTAACGTTTATTAGTTTTCTGTAATAATTTACTTGAATTACTAATCTCTAGTTCTTTGATTATGAAAGTCTTATGTTGTTTCTGGCTGGAACTTTAAATGATCATAGAGCACTTGCTTTGCATTCACAAGCTTCTGGATTGGATTCCCAGCATCAAATGCATGAATGAATGAGTAAATAAATAAACCAACAAAAAACTAAGTTATGTAAAATGTATATATATAGATATTTGGGGCAGCAGTAGTGGGGTTGAACTCAGTCTTTATCTTGTAGGTAGGCCCTCTTACCACTGAGCCATGCCTCTAGCCCTGATTTTTGCCTTATGTTTGAAATAGGGCCTCACTTCCTGCTCCCCTGCTCACTTGAATATGATCTGTTTATGTAGATTTCCCACTATAATCCAGGATCAAAGGCTCACTCCACTATGTCTTAACCTCTATTAAGGAATCTTGGGGACTCTTCTGTCCAGTTGGCCTTGAACTATGTTCCTTCCAATCTCAGCCTCCAAAATAGGTAGAATTATAGGCATGAGCCACCAGCTCCTGGCTAAAACTGTATTACTTTGATGTAGTAAATGGGCTTTCAGGTAAAATAAACAAAGATAAACTGTTGGCGCTACATTGAAAGTTCTGGTGATAAGTAGTAGTGGCTTGCATTGTGGAGAACAAATGCACAGAAGCTGGCTGTCATGAGAGGTGTAGGAGAGCATGGGGTAGTGAGCATGCAGGAGGTGTATTCCCTCAATCCAATGTCATGTCAGATGTAAGAGGACTCAAGGGATTGTGTAATATGCACGAAATAGCTGATTTTGTAAAAGGTAATTTATTTATAGGTCTTAACTATAAGGAGATTAAATGGGAAAAGAAAACAATGAAAGCTGACAGATTTTTTTTAAATCACATAGTTGGCAGAACTGAGACAGAGACTGGACCATGCTGAGGCTGACCGGCAGGAACTCCAGGATGAACTAAGACAGGAGCGGGAAGCAAGGCAGAAGCTAGAGATGATGATCAGAGAGCTAAAGCTGCAAATTCTGAAATCATCGAAGACCGCAAAAGAGTAGAAGTGGTTGAGGAGGTTCATCTGTGGATTATGGACAGCGTTTCTTTTTGTTTGTTTGTTGCTTGCTTTGGTAATTGATTTCTGAGCATCTTATCTGCATGAAGACTAGACATTCTGTTAATTTGTAGATCAGAGAGCCAGAAGAGATTATATATTAATACATACATTTTTACATTTTCCAAGTAGATGAAAATGTGGTTTCATTGTACTTTTTTCCCTTGTCAGCTTGGTAACAATACTATATGGTTTCAACTAGTAGATAATCAACCTGTATTTCTAATGCACACTTGCAGTTGTGTACTTTTTAAAGAGCTGAATTATGTGATGGAAGACAACTGGGTCAATTGCATTATTCATATTTCACACTGAATTTTAGATACAAGTAGTAGCATCCGAATTCCAGTATGTAACAAAGAGCTACTCCAGGAGTTGAACCTGTTTTTCTCATTAATAGTGTCTCCTAAGTTGATACAATATACTTATTATTATATACCACATTTACTTTGTTTAGACTATAGAACAAATTTCCACCATTTTTCTTTTTGATGTCTCTTAGAGGCATTCTGTTAATGAAGTTACAGCACACCCCCTGGACATGACGGGAAGGGTTACATGCTTTAGTATGCTATGCTGCTAAACACAAGAAGCAGCTGTGATTTGTCTTTAAGTGTGGTTTTATTTAGAAGAGAGAGAGTGTGTGTGTGTGTCTATGTTTTGAAGTGACTTCAGAAAAAAAATTCTGAACTTTTAATAGTGATATTGACAATAATGTTCTTGAGAAAAGTGGATGCCATGGATGTACATTAGTTTCTATATAGTCCATAATCCTCCTGTACAGTTTTATATGTAGTCTTATGTGGATCTTACTAAAATTTATATAATGGATTTGTTCCTTTTAAGTGATAAAATATTAAACACCTCAAAGGTTATTTTGGACTTTTGTATGTTTAAATATTATGTTATCAAAATTGCACGAATGGACCATTTTCAATTGCTCTTTAATAGAAAATCATGAATTTACAGACAGCTAATAGGTTATTATAGAATAAATACCTATCATTGAAAGGTTTATAAAATAAATTTCAGATGACAAAGGAATTTCATAGCTTGGGGAAGGGCCACACCTGCACTTTGTTTTTTCTCTCATTTTCTTTTTTGCACAGAAAAGTCTATCATTTTTAATATTAAATATCACATTAATAATGAGTAATTCTTAGGTTAAAGTTACTAGGTAAAATTCTCAGTCTACAGTTATTTTAAAGGAAAATTTTTGACTCCCACAGCACATTATCCCATCAGGTTTTTTCTTAAGGTACTAGATAAAACTACTTTAAAAAGCTGAATTTTCTTTAAAAAGAAATTAGCTTGATGAAGGTTATGTGCTGTTTCAATCGTAGGTCCTCTGATGGTTTAGGACTTCAAAACTTACTAGGTTATAGTGGATTGATTTTATATTTTGCTTCATGGTACTCTCATCTGCAAAGGACACCTTTGTATTTCCCCAAATGTAGTTTGTTTTCTAAATATTTTCTGATCTAAATATGTACTTTGCATTTACTATATTAACCCTATAATTTAATTTGTTGATTCTTGGAATTTCCTCAAGGAGGAAAAAAAATGTTAAAATGACCATGTACCCCAGTGCCATTTATGTACACCTGGAGAAAGAAAAACAATAGACACATAAAGTAGTTTTAGTTAGGTTGTGAATTGATTGTAAACTCAAGTACCTGTAATTTCGTTCATCTTATTAGCTCAAAACCTTTCTGCTTATGCTACTTAGCAAATGATAATCTTTAAGTTTAAACCTAAAACTTTCAAGATACTTTGCTTATTCTTTGAATTATATTTTAAAATTCTAAGTGGGCATCGAAACACCATTAAATTATATGCTGTTAAACTAGAATTGAGTAAAGAAACCTTTTTTTCTAGTCTTTGATGACTTTGTAAGATCTTTACTTTCCCCAGAGGATATATTGATTGATGTGCCATAGGTTTCTGTCTACCTTCCTTGAAGATTATTTTTTGTCAATATGTAAATATATGTCTTATTATTAAAAGTAACTTTAAGTTAAATTGCACCACATAGCTTGAAAAATAATGTAGAGATTTTGTAATACTTTAAAACTGACCTCTGCTAAAATGTTCATTTAACATCCTTCTATTCTTTGCATGCTCATGTCATGTGCTAGTTGCTATCTTAAAGTTTATTTTGGTGTTTTGTGTGCTATGCCAAGTTCACTAAGCAAGCAGATTTTCCCTTAGATTTCATATTTCTGTCTATATATTTATATATGCATTTATATATATGCATATATTTTAAAGTAAAACAAGAGTGGTTAAAAGGTACACTAAGTAATGGCCTATAAAGTTTTCTGTAGCCTTTCAGGAAGAAAGACAATATTGGAAGTGGTTGATGAGTGATATTAAACTAGTTTGGGTGGTGATAGTTTTGGTGGCCTAAACTTTTGTGAGGAAAATGAACTAAATCTATAAAGGGAGTAACTGTCACTTAGAAGCTTGTAAACATGCTCACAAGTGCAACTTCTAACACTCAAAGAATAATCAATGACTTAGGTTTGGTTTGTGCTTTAATTTTTGTAAAGTATATTCTTTTGCTTGGAATTTCTGTGTCCTCTGTAGTTAGGATGTTTTTGCTTCTTGAACTGATTTTTATATTTAATATATTACCAGTTTAGATATTAAGCCATTTGTACAGGATTGAGGAAGAGGAAAAAAATCATGTACAGACTGAATTATAGAGCTGTCACTATAGTAGGCAAAATAGACCAAGTACTATGATGTTTGCAGGTGGCCCCTTCTGGAGATCATAGCAGAAGGAACCCGTTCATTTGCACATCTGTGGCTTCTGAATCATGGAGCATGAAATGTTAAGAAACTCAAGTAATACAGAAGGTGTTTCCCTGTAAATAGTGGCAAAGTAGTACTGAGGAATTTTTAGTAGCTTCTGAAGCTTTCTTCTCAATAATGACCACGTTTGATTACTTAGGGAATCTTTTTATTTGCCCTTTATGCATTTAATTCACAACAGGAAATTAAAAATTTATATGAATTTGTGCTCATACTGTACATCTATTCCTGTGCTTGAAACTACTTGTTAATAGTTTTTATTGAAGCTATCAGCAATAAGGAACATAAAACTGCTGTATTATACGTTGTGGAGTTGAATAATTTAAAACCAGCTTAATTTTTTTTTCTAGAATAGAATACTTAAGCATTTCCACTGTGGAAGAAAGCATATGGGTATTTTGTATTGCATCTTGTTTTAAAAGGACAGTCCTTTTTTTTTTTTATAATTCACTTAAATGACTTCCAAAATGCATAGTGTAATTTGGAGCCTGTTTAGAAATAGAATTAAATAAATAGTGCTACTGTTTTGAATTAGAAAGTGATCAATTGTAAAAAACATTTAAAAAATTAAGCCCAGAAAACAAATAGTGTTTGAACTTAGTTTAATATAAATTTGTAAGATTTTTTTCTTCAATATAGATACCTCACTTGAAAATAAAGGAAGCACAGCATACTTAAAGTAGTTCTTAAAAAATCATCCTATTAAAACAGTTGCTAAATTTAGGACATCTTTTGGGAAGTTAGAGTTTATGAGAAATAAAATGTACCTGCTTTTAACTATCTTGTTAGAAATACTTATTTTATCCTGATAATTTTAAGCCAACACGGTAGTCTTAAATTGTTTCTGAATTTCTAACTGGTGAAAGCAGTCAATGAACGATTTGTTTGGCAACTATTGAAACAACTTGATGACTATATTGACCACAATTCAACTTATAATTTTGCCAATGATGTACAGTTTTCTGATTAAAATTGCTGTGTTGGTTGCATTACATGACACAGAACTGTCCTCTACCTCACGTGAAATAAATATTTTATATGGTTTTACTAAAAATAAGACTCATCTATCTGGTCATTTAGTTTACAAATTTTGAATTCTATTTATTGAAACATGACATACTGTGCTCTTAGCTTATACCTCAATTGTATTTTGTGCTGTTTTCCATTTTCATGCCTTGTAAATAACTTGTATAGATTGTGGATGAAATTTCAAATAAAAAAGTTTTAATGCCAATGAAATTTGATCCCGTATTAGGTTAACTTTCCTGTTCTCAAAGACTGACATTTTCTCCATTTATTTCTTTACAGTCTATGCATTACACATTAACATGGAAAACCTATTTGATTATACTATTTTATTATAAAAGAGAACACTTCCTATAATTCTAAATACCAGCATTTTGTGACAATTGGACTTTTGTTTTAATATCTTTCCCAGATCATGATATAATCTTATCTATGAATGATCTATGTTATCCATAAATTTAGCAATTTAAAGCAACAAATGTCTCAGTATCCAAGGGCCAGAAATCCCTGAGTAGGTTGGCCGAGTGGGCTGAGGAGCTGATCTAAGGGTACCGGGTCCAGATGGGGTAGAGTCAAATGAGCTTGACAGCTGGAGGCTCTGTTCTCAAGTCACAGCTGTTGACAGGCACGCAGTGAGTATGTACCTACCTATGTACTGCATTCATTGTTCTTGTCACAGCCTCCAGGGGGCTGGCTTACACAAAAGCCATCCCTTCTGAGTCACACACAGTCATCACACACAGTCATCACACACAGTCCTGTGTTAGGGGTAGGCCCTGAAGTCCAGTTCTGCTGAATGGGAGGAGGCTCACACAGGGACATGAAATAGCAAGAGGTGGGGACCATCGCAAGGCATTTTAGATTATGGCTCCAATACTCTGTCTTAATTTTTTGTGTGTGTGATGTATGAACAAAATTGGCCGACTTAGCTATTTTAAACATACTTAAGTGGCAATTAAGGATATTCATCGTGTTCCAAACTTTTATCCCAGATTTTGTACCTTTCACATAATAATTTCCCATTTCTTTCTCAGCCCTGATAAGTAATTTCTGTCTGTGTATTTACTTCTTGCATATAGGTAGAATAAAAATATTTTGTTTTTGGCTTATTCCATGTACCATGATGTATTCAGAATGTATCCTTGTCACTTGTATCAGAATTTCATTCCTTTTTGTGGTTCATTATGTATTTATATCCCTTTATATATAGTTATTCCATTGATGGACACTTCTTTCTACCTTTTTTTTCCCAGATGAAAACTAAAATGTTTACTACGTCTCAGAAGTATAAATTTGCTTTACAGCAACTTTATTCTCAGCAACTGAGTTAACAAACCCTCACATTGCCAACTGTTGGAGGAATCATATTCCTTCTTACATGTACCAAAATCTCATGTCAGCAATGAGTTCTGGGTTGCAAAAAAGGATTTACTATTTGCACCTGTCTGTAAGGCTTTGTTACAAATTAGACAGACGCACACACACACACATGTGCTCTCTTTCTACTTTTTAACTTGCAAATAGTGCTGTCAATGTTGACTGACAAGTACACCAAGTCCCTACTTCATGTATGTTTGTGCTGATCCTGGGGTTTGAGCTCAGGGACCTGGGCACTGTCCCTGAGCTTCTGTGCTGAAGGCTAGCACTTTATCACATAAGCCACAACTTCACTTCTGGCTTTTTGCTGGTTAGTTGGAGATAAACTTTCCTGCCTGGGCTGACTTCCTACCGCAATCCTCAGATTCCAGCCTCCTAAGTAGCTAGGAGTACAGGCGTGAGTGCTTGGCCAGTTTTACAAATTTTTTGTTTTTTTGTTTTCCATTTAAAATCTATTGACAGAAGTATAGCTAGGCCAGCCCTGGTGGCTCACCCATGTAATCCTAGCTACTCAGAAGGCTGAGATCTGAGGATTACAGTTTGAAGCCAGCCTGGTCAGGAAAGTCCGTGAGACTCTAATCTCCAATAAACCACCAGAAAACCAGACATGGCATTGTGGCTCAAAGTGGTAGATGCTAGACTTGAGTGAAAGTCTCAAGGATAGCACCTAATGCCTGAGTTCAAACCCCACAACTATCAAAAAAATTTTTATTTATTTTTTTATTGTAAAGATACTATACAGAGGGTTGCAGTTACATGAGTGAGGTAATGAGTACACTTCCTCTTGAACATTGTTACCCCCTCCATTGTTTTCCCCCTACCATCCCCTCCCTCCCTCCCTTCCCCGAAGTTCTTTTTTTTTTTTTTTTGATTGTGATTAAGTGATTACATAATTTCTAAGTCACAAATTCATTCTAACTTTCCTGGAGCAAATTGTCTATCACAGTCTGTAATATATAACAGTGTTCACATGTTATATACCATATTTGTGATCAGCAACGTGGGGATATTTAGTAGTGGTTCAACCAGATGAGCGGGAGTTCTTTGTTTCTTAAGTCCTGTTAGTTTTATCAGGGAGACCATGTACCGTTTGTCTCTTCGTTCTTGGCTTACCTTGCTCAACATGATTCCTTCTAGCTCCATCCATTTCCCTGCAAATGCCATTATCAAAAAAAAAATTTTTTTTAAGAGAAATATATCTGGCTCCTTCAATCTTGGTTTCTGTTTACATGGAATTTCTTTTTCCCATTCCCTCCTTTATTCCCTCTCTCTTCCTCAGATCTCAGCCTACTGAGTAGCTAGATATCAGGAATGAACCATCAGTGCCCGGCCCCCTGTGTCTATTGTAAGCTTACCTGTAAGTTTTTGCCCTGTGCATTTCTGAGGAGGCTAGTAGCAGACACAGTATTGTACTTGAGGAAAGTTTGGTCAGACCCAGAGCTCACTATTGGAATGTGGATGACCTATATTTTGGTGAAAGCAGGCCTGAGGTGCTGTGGGGATGCAAAGGAAGAGGCCAGGAGGCCCGAAGTTAGAGATCCTTGCACTAAGCAAAACTTTTGAATGCATAGAGAGTGACTGAATGGAGAACGCCACTGTGCTTTAGTGAGGAACTGCTAAGGAGTTGTTTGGATGGGATGGATGTTTCATGGGGCAGATGTGTGTGTGTGTGTGTGTGTGTGTGGTATATGTGTAGCTTGAACTCAAGGCTGCACACCCTCATTTGGCTTAAAAAAAAATCACTGAAGGTTGAAAAGCAGCTGCTCCATTTTGGGCCTTTTGCAGGTTAATTGGAGATAAGAATCTTTTGGATTTGTTTGCCCAGGCTGACTTTGAACTGTGATCCTCAGATCTTAGCATCCTGAGCAGCTAGGATTACAGGCATGAGCTACCAGTGCCCAGCTTAAAATATTTTCACTTTAAAACCTAAAATGGAGCCTGGGGCAGGTGGCTCAAGCCTGTAATTGTGGCTACTCGGGAAGATAAAATCTGAGGATCCTGATTTCAAGCCTGTGGGGCAAGAGAGTCTCTGAGACTCTTATCTCCACTTAACCACTTGAGAATTGGAAGTGGTGTTGTGGTTCAAAGTGGTAGAGCACTAGCCTTGAGCAAAAGAGGCCCTTAGTTCTAGCCCTATGACCAAAAACAAACAAACAAACAAAAACACCCAAGACAAAACAATAACAACCAAAAAAGGTAAAAGTGTCCAGGCACTCTTAATTGAAATGTAAATAAAAATAACTTAATTGAAAAATGTCATAATTTTATTAGATAAATGTTTCTAAGTGGGAACAAAGAATATATTTTTTAATCTTCTTGATACATATTGCAAACTACTCTGGAAATGGGTTGTGTTGGTGGTGATGATATTTTGTAATTTTTAGTTTGGTGTTAAAAAATAATCAAATAATTTTTTAAAGCATTATTGCATTTAGTTTTGATGGCTACTTTATAAACACAATTTTACTAGTTCTCTAATGTATTTAAATTATACAGAGGCCAATGTAAAAATGGACACAAGTGGTTTTTTTCTTCCTTGCTATTGTTTCTAACATATTTTTAAGGTACCATGTGATTTTTTTTTGTTGCTTTGTATGTTCTTCCCCCATGGCATATAATCCCTGTTTTCACTGTATTTGATGTTGGTATAATTTGGGAAGGGGAAGGGAAAAAACAAAATGTTTAAATAGGGATACAGATTGATCCATTGCAACAATGAAATGTACAAGACGTGATGTCGAAAAACAAACTTTACAATTTAGGCAAGGGTGTGGGGGTAGAAGGGTGGTTTGGCGGGTCGAGGGGTGTAGTTGAGGAGGGACGGGATGGTAGGGGAAACACAAAGGAGGAGGCAACAATGCTGGATAAGAAACGTACTCATTACCTTGCTCATGTAACTGTAACCCCTCTGTACAGTATTTTCACAATAAAAAGCATTTAAAAAATGAAGTAGAACATGAATTTTTAACACTGGGAATACACAGAGAATCTCTAAATGAGGTTTGTTCAGGACAAAATTGCTCACTGGCAGTACTTGAAAAACTATTTTGTGTTAAGATTTTATGTCATAACTGTGAGTGTAATTCCCAAGTAGAGCCTGCTACAGAGTAAGTAAAAATCTTGCAATTTAATGGTCCTATCTCCAAAAGTAATGTTACAATGACCTGGTAGTTTTATATCCTGAAGCCTTTCTCCTATTAAGAATGGTAAAAGCCCAGTGTCAGTGTCATACTACTTACCTGAAATCCTCAGCAACCTAGGAAGCTGAAGCAGGAGGATCATAATTTCAAGACCAGTCTGGGCTGCAAAGTGAGATTCAAAGTCCAAAGGTCTGGTCGTGGGCCTGAACTCTGGGCCTGGATGCTGTCCCTCAGCAATTCAGTTCAAGGCTAGCACTCTACCACTTGAGCCATAGCACCACTTCTGGCTTTTTTCTTTTTGCTTATGTGGTGCTGAGGAATCAAACCCAGGGCCTCAGGCATGCAAGGCAAGCGCTCT